AAAAGAGAGAGATATACAAGGACACTATAAAAAACATGTCGCAAAGCCACTGGTGGCGTGCCACAGGTTATGGGGAGATACCTTAGTAACGGAGGAAGATACAAGTGCATCTCCATTTGTATATATTTAATAAGAATATTAATCTATTACAATATGTTAATTAGATGTTCTTATAACAGGTTAGTTTATCTTTTCTACACCTCAGTATTTTATTTCATTGTGTATTTTATTCTATGTTGCATTTTATTGTATTTAAAGTACGTGGCTTGCTTGACGACCCAATTTTCCTTCCAAGGATTTATAAAGTCTATCTATCTTTATCCTATCTATCTATTATCTATCTATCTATCTATCTATCTATCTATCTATCTATCTATCTACCTATCTATCTAATTGTTTGAGTTTTCCTTCCCTTAATGCCATCTTGTGAAACATATGTTTAACCATACTTGGTAAGACTAATACCTAAAATAATATTGAGCACATTTAGTTGATGGTAAGTGGATTGTTATGTGTAGTTGTTTTAAATATGTACTTTTTATTATGTTAATTGGTAGATGTATTCACACCATTTACATAAGTCAATGATGTACAACCACAACATAAAAATACAAGCACAAATCCTGCATTTAAAATGTATCCTAGAAGTACAGGAGTACACTGTAAAACATCATACAGGAATTTAGTGAAATCAAGCTTTTCTCTTGAATTTAACATAAATATATGTTTTATTAAAAACATAGTATATAATTAGTACAACATAGACATACTTATATATGTTTTACTTATAGAGGTACAGAAGTACACTGTAAATCATAGTGAAATCAACTAATATTTTCTCACAAGATATATGTTTTATTAATTTCAAGTTTATTCAAATTATAATTAGTAATTTTTATTTTCAGACTATTGCAGAACAAACATGAATTCTTCTGATTTGCAGGCTTTTGACTTGAATCAATGTACAGCTAAGTTTATTCAACTCATTAAGTTTGTAAAGAAACATCATCAGCATATTAGCAGACTCTATGCACTGTTTCTGTTTCTGAAACAGTCATGATGGCAATTTGCAGTGTGTCTTCAATACATGTTAAATTAAGCCATGAGTCTTACTTTTCATGATAAAGGTTAGTATACAATTCAGTCCTGACCCCACACCTACTGTATACTGGAAGTGTCCTCACATGTTGCCTTCTAACTAACAATGGTAAAAGTGGCTTTAACAGGAGCAGCTGCAGCTGTAAAGCTTTTATGTCAAATTAAGAACTGCTTCCTCAAACTGAGAAAATGTAAGCGGAAAGCAAATCTGTCCGTAATGTCTGTCAGTATGACTAAGGAGATTAAGTTTATTTAACTTGTTTTCTCTGCGTCAATTAATAACTCAACTGTTTTGCATTTTCAAAAAAATACCAAGACAACTTTGAACTAATTATTTAACTTCAGTTACCTCACAGCTGTAAATACAATAATGTTTCAGTTGACAAATAAAAATCATTCTTGCAGTTTTATGTAAAAAGATGTAAAAGCTTTATTTACAACAGTGAAAAGCATTTTAAAGCAATTAAAACAGCATAATTACAATATTTTCAGTGTACAATAACAATATAAACAAAAAAAGACACGTTGCTACAGTTGTACTGGGTCATTTGGAGTCGTTCAGATTAGTTTGTTTCATTTTCTGCACGAACAGGCTCCAACAGATGCATTTTTGTACAGCATTTGCAGCAAAGCGCAACACACCAGTGTCTCTGTCCCCTCTACTTCATGTGTTTTATCTTTTTAACAATTCCAATGAAAAAAGTAAGCATAAATGTTTATTTTCCTGTTAATAGATCATAGACTAGAATGAGTCTGTTCTATAAATCCTCAAAGCTCAACAAAAACAGCGACACCAACAGTGCTGATGTGAGTCAGTAAAATCCTGAATGTCACACAACCGTTTCTGTACTGTAACACCTACAAATGATAGGCGGCATTACCAGGTTTCCATATCAGTTTCAGAGACGGTAATTCATCTTTCAGTTTCCTCCCTGCCAAACTCTCCTCTCACACTCCAGCTGTAATACAGTACTTCTAAATGAGGTCTTAGGTTTCACATGGCACAATATCAGAAATCAACATGCAGTCACAGCACTCTCAATGTCACAGCGGAGGAAGAGCAAAGCGAGTAAATTCGGCACACAGAAAAGTGTGCATTTCCAGAAGTATACTGTATGTCAGTAAACTGAAATGTTTCATGTTTCTTTTATACATTTCTCTAGCAGGAAAGGATTGGGACGAGGAGGAAACACAACTAGAAACAGGGAGTAGTGTGATGAAAATTAAATGGGGACAAAATAGCTCATGTTTTACACTTTTAATGGTGACCAATGAATGAATCCACTCATTTGTAAAATGAGTAAAGATGTGTTAAGCCTGGGTTTTTGGAAATAATTAACTGTATGTTATTAATAGTAACAATGTATTTTCAGTGTACTAAATTAACGACAAAAAACTTTAAATATTGTCAGATGAAATAATATCAGTAAATGCTATTTGTAACCTTAATACCCAACAACCATGGACAGATTATGAGACAAGAGGCCCCTGGACACAGAGATATAAAGTTCCAAACCCCTCCTTCGTAGGAGTAAGACCCCCACACTAAAAGATGACCACTCTTTATGGTCATTTTGCGTCTCTGTAGTCGTTTTGATTCTCTTTGTAGTTGTTTTGTGTCTCTTTGCGGTTGTGTATCTCTAGGTGGTCGTTTTGCATCTCTTTGATGTCAGTTTGCATCTCTTACAAGTCTTTTTGCTTCTCCTTGTGGTCGTTTTGAGTCTTTTTGTAGTTGCTTGATGGACAAGAAATGAGAGGCTCTGGTCTAGGGGCCTTGGGCCTGTGCCTTGTAAGTCAGTTCAGTATCCACCCATGATACCAATAAGCCACCTATCACCTTGGTAGTGGGGGCCGGTCAGTTTCCAGGAGGGGCCCATGCAACCTCTCTGGCTTCATGAATAATTCATGCTGTTGTCTATTTGTGCACGTGGATGTCTAATCCATTGTCTATTTGTGCATGTGGATGTCTAATTCATGATTTCTGTCCTTAACACACAATTTTTGAGACTGTTTTCAAGGGTGGATAATCTTTAAGGATTTCTACATCCGTACAAAAACTACTGAAATAAATCACCCATGTCATTACCCATTACATTATGCAAGCAATAACAAATGTCAACAAGCTTCGGTCTCTTAATAGACAGTAATCCATCATCTCATTGGAGGAAGTTTGAAAATGACACTTGAAGCTGAACAGCTAATTTAGCACTATTAAAACATAAGATTATACAGATGACAGAGTTTCTGAAAAGAGAGTTTATGAATGATGAACACCAGTATCGGTCTGTGATGCATTTGTGTTGACACAACTGTGCAAACATCCAAGCTTGGCTCAAACACATACTCAGATGAATTTGGTTATCGATTGTGTTACAACAAACTTCTGTTGCTGCTGCTCTGATTTGCTGTTCTTGTTTGGATAACCTCACAGGGAGCGTTCAACAGTGAAGAAACTTATTTGCTTAAGATGATCAAATCCAAAACATGTAACACACATAACAACATGATATCTTCATTGCTGCTTACAGAGACTTTCATTTGAAACAGACAAACTTCCATTGAAGAGTAAAGCTTTTCAATGCAGAGCGAGATTATATCTTGGTCAAATGGTTTCAAAGTACTTTTCTGATACCAATTGATGTTAAATAGCATAAAACATTTGCATTTTAATTCCAGTCAGGTTAAAGCAGACACTCGCCGTAGCTGATGTGATTTTGTTATTGGGTAGTACCGATCAAAACAACATACAGTATGGCAGAAAATTGGATAACGTTTCACTTGTACCATCCAAAAACACCCCAGAAAACTATAAGTTTGCACAAATTCTTTGGTCAACATTAACACTGCATCCATGGACTTTTAAAACACAATGTCTGATGTTTCCTACTGTACGGATCAATGGGCAGAACATGGAAAACCCAAACCCAGTCTGGGTGATGGGTAGCCCTGCTTGGGACAGTCTCATCCACTGCTTGGACAAGCGGCTGTGCACTACTCTTTAACATACATTTGCAAAACCAACTAGTCTTCATCCCTGAAGTCTCTTTTTCTTGTAAAACCTGAAAAATACAGTTTGAAAACTTCAATAAAGTAAGCCGTAATAACTGCCCCCTGAAGAACTGCAGTTATTACGTTGGCGTGTAATGGGTGTTTTTTCGCCCCTAGGCACAAGGGGCAAAAATAAGTCCATTCCATACTAACAAACTTGGACGAGCCATACAAAGTTCAAATTTACCAAAAGAGTTTTCAAACTCATCAAAATGATGAGGATTAACTAATCAGTTTGGCAAATGTAAGTCTGGTTTACATCCCCACCTCCAATAAAGAGCAACACACAGCCACTGATATGAGAACTGATATGTTTTGATGAGCCTAAAGAGTTTAAAGATAAAAATATACTTAATAGTAATACCTGTTTAATCTGAAACCTGTATCACCATTGTTTGATATATTAGCTAAATAGTAAGTGACAAAACCCTCTTTGACTCTGCATGATTCAGTGTTTGGTTGTAGTCCAGAAATCTCTGAGTGTTTAATGACCTGGCAGGCATGAGGAGACTTGGCCGGGTCTGAATCACTGTGCTAATAATCGGATAACACAACCTTGTCAACAAACCAGTACTTTCCAACTATATTCAGTCTGGCTGCCAATGGCAAATCCAGAGGCTAAAACAAAGAACGGTGGAAGACAGTAGGGTTTGATCAGTTATTGTAGAAAAATGCTTGGAATATTAAAGCAATGGTAAAGTAAGGTTTGTAAATGCAACACGTAGAAGATGAGTAAACAAGACAACAGGAAATACACTGTTTAATGGTTCAAATGATTGACATGATTTCATGATTACCTTTGTTCATCATTTAGCTCTTACTTACTAACTGGGCAACTTAGTAACAAATACTCAAGTCTTACTATTGTTTTGACAAGTGAAGTAATCTTTTAAATTATCACTGTGCAAAATCTTTGCTTTAATGCTGAATACAATCAGAGCAAAGAGGGAAATGAAAACCCTTAAGGCTTTTCTTTAACTCATTTTTTAACAATCCATGTAAACAGGTTGGAAATCTTTGAAGTTAGATTTTAGTGAGTAAGGAGGTTACGTGCCTTTCCCATTTAATCTGGCTTTAGTAGTTACTGAAACACAGGCTTTTCCATACAGAGGAAGATTGGTATCAATTACTCAAAGGTACAATATCATCTCAGGGTTTTTTTTTATGGTAAAACTGAACAACACAAAGTGTAAAGTCTGTCTGGACAGGCTCAGTTTACACATTAACGGCTCATACTTTTTATTGTGTACCAATTGCTGTTTTTGTAAGGTAGTCATGAAATAAATGAATGAATAAAACATTAATTTAGCAATTTTCCAAAATTAGCCTTTTTTAAAATAAAGATGTTTAGAAAATTAGTGGAAATTTGAACTAATCAGGTTGGTGCATCTACTTAAAGTACCTTTGAAGGGATAATAATCCTGATCACAAATTACCTGATTACATATTTGCCAAACAGTAGCAGGAGCCACTGCAGCTAAAACTTGACCCAGGGTATTGAAGTATGACACACAAAACAAAATGGACACTTTTGTTGTCATTAATTGCAGACAAATAAAGTATTAAGCTGTATTTGGATAGGATTAATTTCTCTAGGAAAAGGTGGATAATTTAAATATTGCATGCACTAATCAGTCCAGAGGGCATTTTCCTTTATCTACCACAGAATTATTTCTTATTCTTATTTTCTGTGGCTGAAAATAGTGGTGTATACACTAACAATGTAGACTTAAGGAGTTGTGTAATTCATGGAAACAAAATGTTTAATGGCATAGTAGTTTAGGAACATTATATGACGACAATGTTAAAAAAAAAAAAAAAAGATCACTTTGGTCCAGTTGGTTCCCACACAGTTCACAAGTCTTCTGCATGCTGGATTCTGATGTGGCAGAAGTGCAAGACCATTTTTCCCTGCCTATAACCTTCAGGAGGGAAAGATAGGGATACATGTTGCGGACTGGACCCACGTAATTTGACAACCCTGGGTCTGCAGAGTTGATCACCCAAATAATCTCTGTACAGTAAAAACAACTTAAAAGAAGCTAAAAAAGTAAACAGGAAACTGTACAAGGCACATTTGAATTTCCACAGGCGTAATTTTGCACAGAGGCACATCTAGATGTCATGAACGCTGGAAAGGAGTGCAAAATCCCGGCTCTTTGGTAGCACTGCAAAGGCTTAGAAGCCATGAAGGAAAAACAGAGGTGATAAAACAAAGATTCAGGAATTCTACAGTTCCTTAAAAGTGTTGACAAACCATCTCCATTAACATGACCAGTCAAAAGTCTCCTTCCTCAACTGGGAAAGGCAGGAAGAACGATGAAAATTAGTTCCCCATAAATATAAAGGAGATTCAAGGTGTGATAGCTCCAACACAGATACATTATTGAAGAAATATGCTACGTCTGCTGGGTTTTCCAAAGGCTAAACCTGAGAGTGGTCCTGGCTGTCCGTACTGCCCTGTAGGTAGATTATCCGTCCAATCAGAAGGAGCAGGAGGCCCATGCAGAGCAGCATGGTGGGTTCCTGGTGGATGTGAGGCAGCGGGTTCAGATGGATCAAAGCCCGCCTGCGTCCGCCTGCCCACCCCTGGGATAGAGAGGAGAAAAAAAAGTTTCAATACAAAAATCCATCTGTTTCTCAAACAGGAAATTATTGGGTGGAGACACGAATAGAAAAATTAAGAAGTTTGACAGAAATATTCTAGCAGTAAGGATGATGATGTCAGGGGAGGAAGATGGGTAAAGACAATAATCTTTAACTATGATGATGTGGTATTGTAATCCTGGTTTAAGACAGCGCCTCTGCAGTGTCGAGTCTCTTCAGCCTAGCTGCTCTAGGACCCTTTCCAGTCTTACAAAAACAAACATTGGACATGACATGATGATGTGAGTGGTTGTGGGGGTGGCGGTGGCTTGCCATCCTCTGCGACTGGCTTGTCAATAGCGCTATGTTTCATTATCAGGACAGCCCTGGGCGTTCTCCGTGACTTGATTGAAAACGCCAACACTGGCTATCTGTTTTGTTTAAAAACCCTTTTAACTATGCACTTGATGGCTAGAGTTAGCATCATGTTGATGATCCATGTAGAGGACATGCAAATAAAGAAACAGCATTGTTTTTGTATTGCAGTATAGATCTTATTAGTCTTAGTATCACAACTACTAATAATCATGTTTTCTTACTTACAAAGTTGGACAAACGAGGTAAAATGTAAGTTTTATTGTTTGTATTTTGATACAGTATACAAGATATTTATGGCTAGGCAATACTATTTTGGACAAAGAATTTGGCTGAAGTTGTTGGAGGGGAAACATCCCTAGGTGTGGTTAATGAGTGAAAAAAGCACTTTCTACTACTACTATATGTGTATATATGTATTATAGGCATAAACTCAACCATCAGCTGACCATTTAATGCAAAGATTCCAGTTCAGGAAATTATTCATGTCCAAATTAATCATTTGCATTATGATGGAGTTATTTTTTTTTATTTTTTTTTTTTTGGGAAATTACGAGAATAAAGTCATAATATTACGAGAATAAAGTCGTAATAATACAAGAATAATGTAATCTTCGATAGAGTTATCAAGATCT